TAAGCCTCTGAGAGGTCAGCTGTGGCTTTTAGGCTTTTTTGATTGATTTGCAAACAGTGTGGGAAGGTCACTGGTTTTGCCAGTAATCTGAGATTCACATTGTATCTGATGGGACACTAAATTCCCTTTCATATAATAAAAGTGGCAATACTGCTGAAAGGGGTTCCAATTAAATCTGGGGTACATGATAAAGAGGCGGTTTAAGATATCTGTGAGTCTAACTGTAGAGACATTTTCTCCATTCTTTTGTTAAATATCTACTTCATACTGTAAGGTCAGTACTTCCTATCTTTTCCTGATAAATACTTGGTTAGATTACTTAAATACATCCATGGTTTGTACTAGGATCAATATTGTTCTAGTTTTCTATCAAATGCCCTTGATATCTCATCTATTTAATAATAACTGGCACCCATAGCAAAATCCCCAAGGCAGTGTAAGATCCAATACATTATGTACATCTACATAATGTATTTGTAAAAGAAATAATATATTTTAGTAGGATTTTAGGAAATATTTTTGGTTTAAACCTGAGTTAACCAGACATAAGTTACTAACTACAGCAGAAAATGTATCTGTTTTGTTTAACACTGTATCTTCAGCAGAGCAGAGTACTTGACTATATATATATTACATATATGCGTATGTATATATGTGTGTGTATATATGTATGTATACACACACACTGCATATGTAGTGTCACACACACACACACACACACACACACAGTGGGGACTTAACAAATGTTTGTAGAATGAATAAATATCCAGAAAAGGTCACTTGACTGAAGTTTTACTATTAATACATGCTCCTTTTCCAGGTATATCCCATGCATAAAATTATACATTGCTTTAGGATCAAACAAATCATTAAAAAGACTTCACTGGAAACAGCATTATTGACTTTTAGAGAGAGCAAGGGTTTTCAAGGTCATCTCAGCTCAACTGTCCTTATTTAAAGTGAGAAGGAGAAGAATCATAGGTGGTAAGTGATTCCATTTACTTTTTAAAAATAAACAACTAAAGATTTCTTATCCATCTCTCAGAGAATGAAAACACTCATTTTTATTTTGTTGGCACCATCATAATTTGGGAGATATAATGTAACTGACCAAAGAAAGAGGTAGACAAGTGCAGACCATCTAACTACCCATTGTGATAATTCTGTTCCAGAGGATCAGCTGGGAGTTCATGGGAATAGGGTTTCACTAACAGGAACACACAAATCTAGCTGCTGGACCCTTGGGTTTTTATCACAGTAGAGTAAAATGCATGAGCAACCACTAGCCTTAAGTGCCATTTTGCTCAATTACTTTGGCTGCCAGAAAGATAGTTAAGATAAGGTTTGTTGTTGCTTTTTTTGCTACTAGGTTAAACATGTGAACCAAAATCTGATACTTCAGTGTTCAATTGATAACGTTATTAGGTAGAATCCCTAGGGACTCTCTGCAAGCAACAGAGTTCAGAATTTAAAATTAACAGATACATGTATAAATCATATATAAAAAGACTCACACTATAAATCTCTTATTTTGATATGAAACAGTTCATTTGATTCCAGCTATATGAAGCTATTGCTAGCTCTTCTACAAAATAATTGACATATTGTTACAGGAAGAAAATTAGGTGAAAGGAATAAAGCTAGGGTCCACAATGATATTTATAATATCTTTCAGTCAAACTCATAGCAATTTAAGTAAAAATATTCTATCAAAAATTTATCACAAATTCAGCAAACACTTAAAAATACTTCTTGTTTTAGGTTTCTTTTCAAGGCTTGTTTCTGCAAATGAGTGGACCAAATTGCCCATTGGATTTAGAGAGCCAAAATTCCAATTTGTTTGATTGGAGTTGATACGATCACAATAAATCTAACTTTGTGGTTTCAATATGTTTCTACTCTCTTAAATGACTCAGTGGATGATATTTACATATATTCTTCCATTTTTTTCTTGTGGTGTACATGAAACCATATTTTCAAATACTTGATCTTAAACTCATTTTGTGACATGCTTGAATGAGTGTATGTCTAACTACTATATTAAATAGGAATATATTTATAAGAACTAATTAGTTCATGTCATAAAAATAATTTGGAAAACATGTATAGAAGATGAAAAGGTTCTATAACTACAGTTTCCCATTAACGTATTTTGAGAGAATATTGTCTGAACTATTTCTACTATGTTTTCGCAAATTGATACAAATTAAGATGTCAGTGAAGTAATTATTGATGTCATGCTACTATAATATGAAATGTGCCCATCCTTCTAGAATTATTTTATTTTATTTTTTTTGAGATGGAGTTTCACTGTTGTTGCCCAGGCTGGAGTGTAATGGCACGATCTCGGGTCACCATAACCTCCGCCTCCTGGGTTTAAGTGATTCTGCTGTCTCAGTCTCCCGAGTAGCTAGGATTACAGGCATGTGCCACCACACCCGGCTAATTTTTTATTTTTAGTAGAGACAGGGTTTCTCCTTGTTTGTCAGACTGGTCTCGAACTCCCAACCTCAGGTGATCCCCCTGCCTCGGCCTCCCAAAGTTCTGGGATTACAGGCATGAGCCACCATGCCCAGCCATAGAAATTTACTAATATGAAGTGTGTCCATTCTTCTAGAACGTTATCATCATTGTATTAATTTCACCATCTTCTGAGAAAGGGCCACCTTTTCAAAGGCATTTTTCTAATCAAGACTATTTAGCATTTAACTTTTTACCTTTTAAAAATGCTTTGTTTTGAAATTGTTTCCTCTTGCTATCTTAATTTATGAAAGAGGATGTTGAAACACAGGAGTCTTAAGGTACATGTACAAATCCTTGACAAAGTGTGGATTAGCTCTTGTGGATGAGCCAAAAGTAAAACCAAGAAAACATTAAAAGTTGTTTCATTTAGAGCTACAAGGAATTAAAATACAGATAGTAAACAACAATAACAACAGCATGTTCAGAATAAAAACACAGCTTTTCTTGAGGGAAAATTTTATAGGACAATTAAGAGTACATTATTTTCTCACAATGGAATCGACTTTATTGCAATTTATGAGATTTATACCTGAGAGGCATTTTAAATGGACAAAGTTCTCTTACTATTATTATTATTATTATTACCATGCAATCATGATAGAAAAGAAACCTTTTAGAATTCGGCAAGAAAAATAGAAAAGGTAGACACTCAAGTTTTCTAATTTCTTTAAAACGACAAAAAAAATAAGATGTCCAGTTCCTTTAGCAAGAGCTCATTTATGGCTTATTCAAAGAGTTTATCCAAAGCACCCAGGTGTGCCGATTTTCTTCTTAGCAACCAGCTAAGCCTCTGAAATAGGTCAGTGTGCTTTAGGCACTCAACTGCCTCCTCCAGACTTGGTCTTTTAAGCACAGGTGCTAAGTGGAGGGTCTTTCTGAGCCTTACTCACCCTCTGACAGGAACTTGGCAATCCAGGCAGTTCTTAGAATTGGCTGCTCTGTGGGATTCATCGTGAGTTATTTACAAAGCTTCAGTTGTTCAGGTCAAACAACTCAAACTTTCAATACAGGGGTGGGAGTGGGAGGGAGGGCAATGGGAGTCGGAGGTAAAGTGGCTGTATTGCTTAAGAAAGAAGAAAGGTTTTTTTCTTGGATTCTGTAACTAACCATTTAAAAATTTCATAAACATTGAATAGCTACAACTTCAATAATTTTTTGGACTCTCTCAGAATAAGCCCGAGTAATGTATAAATGTATAGGCTTTTAATTAATATTTCCCAAAATAACATATACATATTTCTTTGGTATGTCTGTCTGTCTATCTATCTATCTATCTATCTGTCTATCTATCTATCTATAGCTTTTTCTTCTACAAAGGGATGACAGGAAGCAAATACTCTGTTATTTCCTTTTATGGTCTGGCTTCTTTAGACTTTAGCAATACAACATTTTTGTTTGTTTTGTTTTATTTTTCACTTTTACCAATGTTAATATAGTTGAGGAAGGAAACTGAAGACATCTAGTCCCATGCCTGCAAATAGTAAGGCTGAATCTCTGAAATATATTTTGATTTTCATTTTTATAATTGAATACTAAAGTTATTCCTATAAATAAGCCTCCAAATTGGCAAGTTTACTATTAGAAATCAAGTCATATAATTATGCAGTTAAACGATATGTAATAAACTAACCAACAAAAAATTGTGTTGCCCATGTCTGGCTGAACTAACATACTATAGATAAATATGAGCAAGCATTTCTAAAACCACTAGATGGCATTCATTCACTGCGATTTTAGCCAAAGAGCCTTTAAAGCTTTATCATGATCTGCAGGGGTAGGGGAAGGCAGATGTTATCCATTATTTGATGATATTTTCCTATCATTTAATACAACAGCAAAGCTCAGTTTAATCTTTTCCTGGCTGCTTCAAATCAAATCAGCAAATATTTATTGAAACCTTTATTCAAGGATTTTTCTGTTTTGAGGAGAGTTGAAAACCATTTCCACTGGGGTAATAATGTATTTACTCATCATACCTAGCAGAAAATATGTTATATACAGTATTCCACTAAATTTTATACAGTATGCCACTGAATTTTCTTTTATTTTATTGCTTTAGTAATTTATGTTTCTATTTCTCATGTAGCACTTCTCTAAAGTAAGTGTGCCTCTAAAAAAGATGCACTCACAAATTTAGAATTTTTGTACTGTTTTTAGGTGGGATTAATCTTCAACATTCATATTTTTGAAAACTGGAGGCCAGGAGCTCTTAAAGATTCACACAGGGTCCTTCACTTGTTCAAGTCTTAAGAATATGTGAGAAATAGCTTTCTAAATACGTTGAGACCTAAGAACCAAAAGGGTCTTTGGTGATAAAAGATTGTGATTTCGTCCTGAAGATAAGTCATGGAATGAAAACTCTCAAACCTCACACTCCAAATTAAAAGTTGGGAGAAGATGTTGATGGGGAGAAATCAATCAAAGGTTAAATTTTTCTGTATAGGGTCTAGGTTAAAAACATAAAATCTAGGACTTACCTGTTCTAATATGTTTTGAAGTCTCTCTATCTCACAGTCTATTACAAACTTCTTCTCTTGTCTTCTATCAAGCTCTTCTAGAAGTTGCCTATAGCTGACATCATTAAAATTTTCCACACATATAGCGCTGACATGCCAACCATTTTGTCCTGCTTTTTCCATAATAGCTTGGAGTATCGAGTATCCTATTGGGGGAAAAAAAAGTTACTAAAAACATTACTCCCCTTTAATGACGTATGCAGGCACTGAGCCCAAATCAACACTGTTACACTCCAAAATATACTGAATGCTTAGAAACTTAAAGTCTGTGTGGTGATTTCTGAATAATTTGTTCTTACTTTCTTTAGTCACGGGAACAAAATCTCTTAAAATATCGATTGAATGAAGTAGCAACACCACACCTTGTACTCTCAAAATCTCTTTAGTGGAGAACATTGCATTGCTCTAGACACTTTTTTTGATGAGACAAATCCACCTGTAGTCAATAGAAATTTATAAACCCTTTTTGTTATTTTACTCACTAGATGGAACTCATTTTGAACAACTGTTTGACTTTGCCCTTGAGCAAGGTAGAACAACATTTTTGGTTCAACTACGGAAGAGAAGATGTAAAAGAAATAGTACAACAGTATTTACTGAGGACCCATTATTCTCGGTGCCTTATTTGTAGATGAGGACAGGTGCATATTAGAGAGGCATTATTTAACTCTTCCTCTCTCAGCAGGGGAATGATACAGACTGGGGATGAGTTGAATGACCACTAGGTGAGGCACTGGTACTCCTAATCGGTAAGAGACTGATGACCAAATAAACAAGAGAAACTTAGTTTTAAAAAGTGTGTAGCACGACTCAAGGTAAAGGGTTGGCTCAAGGGAAAGCTTGGTTAGAGCTGTCTGCATGGAACAGGGAAAAATACTACAAAGGAGAAACAACTTGAATTGGGTCTTGAAGGTTGAGAAGGAGCATGCAAGACTGCCAGAGGTGGGGGCGTTTATTATGTGAAGACAGCCTTCCATGAGAGAATAAAATGAATGGTCTTCACCCTGTTCTTGATCTAGTTCTCTCTGCATGTGGAAGGGAAGGCATCTGGTCCAAGCATCTGGATTAAGGCAGGAGCTGTGAACTCATAATTCCTGCATTTGGAGTATATCTTCAGGCCAACATTGTCTTGATTGTCTTGCCTTTTTTTCATCTCCTTTTTTTTTTTCAGACAGAGTCTTGCTCTGTCGCCCAGGCTGGAGTACAGTGGCACGATCTTGGCTCACTGCAACCTCCGCCTCCCGGCTTCAAGCAATTCTTCTGCCTCAGCCTCCTGAGTAACTGGGACTACAGGTTCACGCCACCATACCTGGCTAATTTTTGTATTTTTAGTAGAGATGGGGTTTCACCATATTGGCCAGACTGGTCTTGAACTCCTGACCTCGTGATCCACCCACCTCAGCCTCCCAAAGTGCTGGGATTATAGGCATGAGACACAGCACCCAGTCCCATCTCTCATTTTTGAATTGTAATGTGAGAGAAGATTAAAAAAAAAAAAGATTCTTTGAATGTATAAGTATCCCATACACTAAGATTGGTTAGGATCAGAGCCTGTTAGTTGTATTTTTACTTTATGGTTTAGCATAAACAAAATATTCTAGTCCTCTTTAAGGAAGTCTAACACTTATTTGAGCTCATTCTATAGCAACTATCTGTAGTTTCTTCTTCCTGTGATCCTGGAATTGGGTAGAGAGCTGGGTGGATTAAAAGTGAAGTTTTAAAACAAATATAAAGCCCTTGCAAGATAAGGGCATATTCGTTGAGTTTTCTAATTGGTATGTGAGTCTCATAGATTCAGGGATTTTTAATTTTTTCAGGTATATTTTCTACATATCAGAGTTCCAAATATTACTGATGCTCAGTTAAGATCAACAGATGGAACCGATGATGAGATCATATTTGAAATATAAATTACCTGATATCCTGCCAAATGAAATACTGTGGCAGTCAGGATTCATTTTTATCTAAATGAAAAAAAATTCCCCGAAGAGGAAGAAAGAGGGCATGTTAATTACTATATAATTATTCTGGTATATCTATTGTTCCATTTAGTCTTTCCTTTTGTAATGCGTGCCAGTAATTATCTTTTCAAATCTTACCTAGATCCCCTGCCCCAAAACCCCAGCACTCTTTCTCTTGTTTCCCATTCAACGCATATGTAACGTGATGATATGAAACCTTCCTTAATATATATGTTCATGCCTCATTTATTCTGTCGCGGGGGCTTATGCTCTGATGGTAACTGAGGCAATGTTCCTTTAAATCATTTTTTGACACCTATGAACATATTCTTTGACTTAAAATGAATGCTTTTAAAAATACCAATTGACGTATTACTTTTCTTTTTTCTCCTTTTATTTATCATCATACCAGAATAATGCTAACATTTTTTTGTTTGCTTGAGTGTTGTAAAAATAATAAAAACGGCCCCCACACATAGAAATAGTCTTCTCCCTGTGCTCAATTCACAGCTTGGCACGATTCTCTAAATATTGCTGCATTTCTGGCATCATGTGGCTGTCAGGCTTCATGTCAGGACTAGGGATGCATGTTGTTATTCTCCTGCTGACATGACTTTTACAGAATGTGGAGCCACACACTTTCTGATGAAATTTATAGGTATTCCCACTTACCTTACAAAAGTGAAGGACTCAATCTAAAAACAAAATTATAATTCAAATCCAGCCTTCCATTATCTGATTTTTTAGATTTAAAATGACACTCGAATTGGAATCAGACAGAACCCTAGGACACAATCTTTGTTGAATGGTAAAGAAAGTTGGTTACTTACAAAGCCCCATTAATCATAGTCAGAAATAAATGGCATCCTTTCATTGCAGAGAAAAGGACATGCAGTAATAGTTTCAGAGCTTGGCTAAAATTATATTCTTTTATAAGCTATGTTTGATTCTGATATGCTCTCTGATTATTCATTGATATTCAGATGTGAGTGTCTTATTTATTTGCTAACATAGCTGGAAATATATTGTAACTAGGATAAAATACTGCTGTTGAATCTATGATTATGTAACTTAGTTGTTATATAAACTAGAAAATCGTAAGTCAAGTCATACTATTTCCACATCTGGCTATGATTTGTATCTCCTAATTATTAGAAAATCTGTCGTACAATATTGTTGGCCAAAAAATGAATGCTTCAGTTTTAGGTGAATACCACGTAGTGAACAGGAAATTCACTACTGTAAAGGATATTTTAAATATTGCTTCTACTCTAAAAAGCTGTCTAACATTTTAATTCAACATAATATACTGAAAACCTACTACATACAGAATTCTATAAAGTATATCAAGATAAAGATGTGGGAACTGGATGACATTTTGTTAAGTGAAATAAGCCAGGTACAGATAGACGAGCTTCACATGTTCTCACTCATTTATGGGAGCTAAAAGTTAAAACAATTGAACTTATGGAGATAGTAGAATGACGGTTACCAGAGGCTGGGAAGGATAGTGAGGGAGGAGGGAAATGGGGATGGTTAATGGGTACAAAAATATAGTTAGATAGGATAGATAAGATATAGTCTTTGACAGCACAACAGGGTGACTAAAGTCAACAATAATTTATTGTACATTTTAAAATAACTTTAAGAGTATAATTAGAATGTTTATAACATAAAGAATAAATGCTTGAGGTGATGGATACTCAGTTACTCTGATGTGATCATTATGCATTGTATGCCTATATCAAAATATTTCACGCACCCCATAAATATATACAGCTACTATGTACCTATAAGAACATTTTTAAAAAGATAGGCAATGTGAAATGCAAAGGTGAAACAAAAGATAAAGATGTGCTTCTTGTTTTTACAAATAATTTACTATCTAGCAAAACTGATAGGTAAACTATCCATTATGCAAAATACACCTCATTGTATAAATAAATTCAATGTGATGAAAATAATTTTTTAGAATAGTAGAGCATACCATTGACATAATCACCTTATTAGATTATAATAGTAATTAAGGGCTTCTTCATAGTTACTAAAGAACACTGCCAATTACATATAAAATATTTTTAAGTGTTATGATATCACATAAAGATTTTATCAATTATGTTAAATAAAATCAAAATGAGGTAAGCAGTCCTGAGCTACTGCACCCTTACACGTCAACACTTATTACATCATCCATGGATTATGACCTATTTTGGATGAGCACCAATTCAGGGATGTTGCTACTCACAACAATAGCTGGGCTTATTTATTTGATGTTTTCGTTTGCAAGAGTTATTTAACTGTCTGCACACAGAACAGCAGAAAGAGAAGCAGAATACATTTGTGCCAGGGAAGAAAGTATTTAGAAAAGAAGGAGTTATGCATTTGCCCTGAAAAAGCTTTACTTGGATGAGAACTAGAAAGTGTCCATTGTGCTTTTCAACGAGGTCATTGGTGCACTTAACATGACCAGGTTAAGGGTTAATGGAATGCTGGATATAGAAGACATTTTTCAGATTTTGAAATTGAGGAGAAAATGGGAAGAGGTAAGAATGTGGAAATAATCAAGGAATATCATCAGAATAATGAAGTAATAAGATGAAGGGTATGCCATTTTGATGAATATGGGATAGAGAAACATCTAGATTATGGGACCTGGTTTGGGAAGGAGAAGACTAGGTCTGTCCCATGGGAGGTTGCTGAGCCTGAAAAGGGAACATGGCAAGGGGCATAGCAGCAGCTTGTAGTTAGTTAAATTAAAGCCTCCCTCATTAATTGTGTAAATTGCTATGGAGGTACTTGCTACTACATCATCAATATCTCTGGTCTAGCACAATTTGTCAGTGCCCAAAACTAGTAGATTCAAGGAAAAAGGTGTGTATGTCTGTGTGTTTCTAATGCCACATATTGATTTGAGTTACAGAAAGGAATAAGATTCTGTAATCCTCACTGAATTTAATGCCACCATGCTGGAACTGTGGAGTAGATTTAATAACCATTTAGGTTGGACTCTTTCCAAAGCAGCTTAGTACTGAAATAACATGTTCAAAGGCCACAGTCTGGACCCCCAGGTTTCAGCACATGGAGGAGTAACCAACATTGTAGCTTGGGTAAAATTATCTGCAGCTGTAACTATAGTATTTATTTATGCCATAGTTCCTAAAGGGCATACTAAAAATAAGCAAAGA